GAGCCGCTCCTTCCCCCCGAGAGCAGATTGCTGTAACGAGGGTGAGAGTAGGGGAGGGGGGAAATATTTTGGAGTTTGCTGCCTACGAGCGCTGGCTCTGCATCGGTGACATGGTTTTGTGTTGTTTGTGGAAAGGGAAGCATTCTCTGCAAACTTTTTTTTTTGTAGCTGGTATGTGCCAGGGCTCTAGAGGAGGCTGGTAGAAAAATAAACATGCCTGGAGCTGGTTTGGATACGTTTCCATGGTTTAACCTAAATATTGCAGCTTGTGTTTGATAGTTACATGGGAAAACTGTTATATACTAACAGTTTACCGCTCTAAGCAATAAAGGAGAACTCGTAAAGACAGCTGGTCAGAGTTTTGCTTTTCGAGCCCTAATTACCAGTAACAACATCACAACTCTGTGAATAATGTTATGTTACTGCTAGCATCTTGTTTTGGGAGCATGTAGATTAGCAGCTGTGTGATTAGAGTTGTTTCTGTTAACTTTGAATAAACAAAATGAGGCACCCCCGAACTAGTTGTTAATCTAGTGCTAAGTACTGTTGTTACAGGTGTCAATCTCTTAAATTCCTAAAAACTTACCAGCTCCATGGGCTGTTAATTCTTTCAGAGAGATGAGACTAGGGGTAATATAATACAATATATATATATGCGATGAAATATTTGGAGAATAGCAAAAATAAAACAAAAAACCCACACCTGCGTAATTGCATATGACTTGCATTCTGCATTCTATTCCCGCTGGATTCTCTGCTTTAGCCCCTCATCACCATCCACAGGGGTGTGTAAGGAGGGCCCTGTGCTTCTCTTCTTCCCTGGTCTGTCTCTTTTGCAGAGGAGCTGCTGGCCCCCAGCTCTGGGGCTGCAGAAGGCTGCTGAGAGCCTGATTCTGCCGCACCAAATGCCTCCCAGCACCCAGCCTTGCTCATGCAAACCTGGGCTACCTGTGAGCTCAGCTGCTGGCCCCAGGCTCTGCTGTTGTTGGGTGCCAAACCAGCTTGCTGATTCACCCGACGTGTGTACGGGGGCCTCCTGCAAACACCAGTAGGAAATAGCTGCATCGAAGCAATACATATAGAAATTTCAGAAGTTTAGTAAAGTAGAGGTGAATGTTTTTGGGGAGGTAAGCGCCTAACTTGAGTCATTCCAGGTTAAAAAATCAGTCTTGGTGCATGGGCTTTCCTCTTCGAATGCTCAGTTTGGAGTCGATGTCAAAACATGGCTGTACAGCTTTGAGAGCTCCTTCTGTCCATGTGCAGGTCAGGTTTGCAACATGCTACCGGGCTTTTTTTCTTTCTTTTCCCTTCTTTTTTTGAGACTGAGCACTGAATTTGTCGGGAAGCACAGTCATCACGTGCCTGAGGTGGATCGGCACTGCGGCAGCGCGCGGTCGCTCCTCTGCCATACGTGTTTCCTCTTCTTCCTGCCTGAGTGCCCGGTGGCTGTGCAAAGCCATCGAGTGTCCCCAAATGTATGTTAGTTTCTGCCTGGAGTGCATGATTTTCAGTGTATGGTCTGCCTGGAAAGTCTGAGAAAAATCTAATCTGGAAAGTATCGGGGGTAAGGGTGGTAGGGGAAGGAAGAGGGAAAGAAGGTAATTAAGGAGCTGAGCATAATGTTTTTCCATTCTCAGAAAACAAATGTACTTTTCAAGCTCTTGGTTTAAACTGAGACTGATGAAACAAGATGGAAAAAACTGAGTTACTTGGGAACAGGCACAATATCACCTCTGGCTGCCTGAGCTCTGATAATCAAAAGGTTGGTGAGCTGCAGTTCCTAAATCCCTTAGAAACTGAAAAGGGATGACAAACAAATGGCAAGAGGTACTCGGAGCTAATTCAAAACAAGCAAGTAGTGAATTGGGTTGTGCTTAATGACTCTTCTTAAGTTGTATGAAGAACAGACCCAGACTGGGATGTCTGCTTGCATTGTTTACAAGTTTGTGTACACGGATTATTTGGTTAGAAACAATTCCATGTCAGTGAGGTGTCTTAAATTAAAAAAAGAGATGGGGTTGCTTCTAAATTGCTTTAGCTTTTCATTTGTCTTGGTTGGCGAACATAAGCCCAGCATGCATGCTGTAGAAAAGTGCTCAAATTTGTGTTTGTACAAAGTGTTTTTCTTCAGAAAATTTTCATGGCTGCAATTCATGGTGTTGCATCATGCTGAATTGCTCCACTCCTCTGATACACCCGTCACTTAAAATACTGGGTTTCCAGCTTGAATGGTTAGTCCTACTTTTAGACGCCTTCTCCTGTGTGACACGCCAGCCTAGGCAATAGCATGTCTCAGGTTAGTCACTGTCTTTCCTTGTTTGAAGCTGCTGGGTTTTGTTACTCTCTGCTGAATTCCTTCCCTCGATGCTTTTAGAGCCCAGATGAATTTTGCCGGCCCAGGAACATGGGAATTTCACCTTTTGCAGTTGTTGCCATTGCTGAAATTCGACGGGAGCTTAAGGGCTGTGCTCCATAGGGGCAGTAAACTTCCAGTGGAAACTAAAGCTGTGCAAAGAAAGGGCTTATTTCTGTAAGCACTAAATTATCTGGAGGAGAAAATAATTTTTAGTGTACTCAGCTATAAAGTTGTTCCATTTGAAATTTGGATGAGAGTCTAGAAAAGTTCAGGTAAACACATCCTCTCCCCATTTGAGTTCTAACTTTCTAAAGTGATTCTTGTCACTTGCTTGTGATGTCAGGAGGAGATTGGCACAAAGAGTATTGCTAGATAATGGCCAGAACTGAAGAGCTTGCTGATGTTTTTAGAGTAATTCACCACCGAATATCTTTCCTTTGCAACTGGCCTTTGTGCTTTCTGCATAGAACAAAACAAGGCAGAAATTCTCCGTGTCCATGGGAGTGGATCCTTAGGGATCATTATGAGCTGTTCAACTAAAAGTTGTCTGAACCTGCAAAGAATTCTCTATTACTTGGCTCAGAGGTGCTGCCCCAAGAGCCGATGGTGTCTTGGGATGTGTTTTCTCTATCTGACAAGAGCAGGTCATCATCTAATTTGAACCCACGTGTCTTCTTTCTCCCGTCTACAAAGTGACCTGCTTATCTTCCAAAATTATAAGTTTCAATGGGAGAAAATCCAGCAGGCCAGAGAGCTCGTTCCTGTTGGAAACCAAATGTAAAGAGACCTTAAGGACTGTCAAGGGTTTACAAAAAGGAGCCACACTGCACTGCAATCGGCAGATGTTTTCCATATGTCATTCAAGCAAAACTTTATAAAGGCAGGCAAGCACAGCAATGTGAGGTTATGTATTTTGGTATGAGCCTGGGCTTCAAATTGAATTATGCACAGACGTCTTAAGAAAACGTGTGAGAGAAGGCTTTGCATATCTTTGTCTGTCTGCAGTTGACTCTTTCAGGCTCCTTTCTATTCCTGGAAAAGGCATCCTTAACTATTTATGTTCAAATTTACTGTCATGCATATTTAGCTCTCTTAATAACCAGCTATTCTTACCATATGCTGCTTATTTAATTTGAGAGTCTGAATCTCAACAAAGGAGAAACATAACTTTTATGTGCTTTCTAGCCTTTTCTTTTTTTGTTGCTGTTAATTTAAATCACACTTAGCTTGCTCTAGGACTCCACAAAGTACTGTCCAAATCTGAAAGCTCATTAAGTGGCCCACTCATGATACCGTACTTGAGAATGAAAAGTATAATTAATAAGATTTATTATTTTTTTTTACCTCTAAGTTGCTATATATGCGATTATTCAGATTGGTTAGGTTATTTATTTGTCTTCTTGGCTCAATATGTATTTTCAATATATATTTTTCCAAAGTGTGTTTTATGCCTCCTTGTTTTTGTACTGACGACTCTTCAAACTGATGTCTCCAGGCACGTGCTGATTTTTCTCAGGCTCTCTCCAGCTGGGAGGTGCAGACAGGGAACAAGTCACTGGCCTCTCCTTTCCTCTCTTCTCAGGGAACTCGCTGCTGCTGCGCGTCCTGCCTGCTCTCTACGAGAAGCAACCGCAGCCGATAAACCAACACCTGAGGGACCTGATGGCCCTGATGGCTCAGCTGGACCAAGCCGAGCAACGCCACCTCCTCGGGCTCTTCCAGATTGTGGCTAAGAAAAAAGAACTTGGGGTAAAAGCGTGTTTGGAAGATCTTCCTGCCAAATGCCTCACCTCCTTTTGGAGGAGTTTATTGGTTTCAGATGACTTGGCAGGTCTGCCCTCTCGCTGCTCTCCGAACACTGAGGAGTCCCATAATATGCATGACAGTGCTTTCCTACGCTAATTCCCCGTGAATTCTTTAATTCCATTCCGAATTCTTCATCCAGTCATAAAGAGAACATAACAATGACTCTGCTGGACCAAAAAGATTGTGTTAAACCAGTTTTTAACTTTTTTGGCTCTTCCTCTGTCAGCTGAGCAGGAATTCCCATAACTGTGTTTCTGCTAGAATAAATGCACTGTATTAAATTACATGTGAAGGAAAATGAAAATGCGTTAGGAACTGATTAGAACTGAGCTGGAGACTAATTTTTTGAGGCAAAATACATCACGCTTTAGAAATTGCATGTCATAGCGCCCGACGTGTTAGAACAAGGCACTAAACCACCTGCTTTGTGCGTTTATGAAATTGATAAAATCTTTGGAAAAGACGAATCGACAGTAGTTAGTATTTTCCCCCAGGCAGCTAAGAAAACTATTGTAGTGCACAGTCCTGGATGAAAGAGACTTGGCAGCCGGAGGGGGCTACGGGGGGGTACACCATGCCGGGGTCTGGAGGTGTTTTGTGTTCTCACCATTGCTATTATTATCATTTATTACTCCGAGCAATTTATTCAGCCACCCACCTGCAGCATTTTGCCAGAGCGACGGGTATTGACTGGCTGAAACTGGTAACCCTCCAATGATATTATGAAAGAACAGGTCACTTTACGCCCCGTTTCTGTGCTGAAATGTCTTTTACACAGATGCACCGGTTCCGCTGAATCAGAGGTGTATTAGTGTTACATGTGTGTTTATGTGAAAAATAATCACTCAGCAGATAGTTGTATACGCTGCATCCTGTTTGTAAGATGATTTTAAGCACTACACCCCCAGCCTCTCGAAAATTGTGTCATTCCAAGAAATGACAACTTGCCCACAGCGGGGGGTTTTTTTCTGCAGTAGGATTCTTGCCTCTTTTTTTTTCCTCCGTTCCAGCTATTAACCTTGTCACTTTATTTAGTTTCCAGTGGAAACAAAAAATTTCTACTAGTACTTTAATTTACAGTATCATTGGGGAAAGCTAAGCCTTCTGTTGTTTTAATCAGTAGAGTGTAGGACTGGCCTAGAGCAAGGGAAATGTTTGCAAGGTTCTTTTTTTGTCTTTTTTTTTAATAGCGCATTTCCTTACTTACGTACGCATAGCTGCAATATTTCAAGGCTACAGCTTACCCCTATTCCATATGTTGAGCTGAACTTGGATCGACCTCAGCAATAGCTCTGTGCAAAGGTCAGCGAGGGTGGAAAACTATTTCACTAAATTGAAATCTAGTGCTCTGTTTTTAACACTCGGATGTACAGTGACTCTTTTGGTTACGAGTGTTCACAGTTAAGAAATAGATATTCACAACTTGTTTCTGTCTGTTTTGGGTTGTTTTTTTTTAATAGGTGCTGAAAGAATTTCTATTTGGACACTTAAGAGACCCCAACCATAGTGACAGTATCCTAAACATTCTTCTAGAAATATCCAGCTACGAACCAGCAGCCTTAGCCACTTTCCTTCCGGCGCTGAAAGAAATTGGTGAGAGTTTTCCAAGTCTGATTGGGCAAACAGCAAAGATCTTTGGAGCTGTTGGACATATCGATGAGGTAAGTTTAAAACCAAAATCAGTTGGTTGCTTTTGGGGTTGGGTTGTTTGAGTTTGGATTTTTGTTTGGTTTGGTTTGTTTGTTTTTTTCCCTAAGTCTTGTATTAAGTAATGCATCCAAGTATTCCTTTCTTCACGAGTAACCAGACTGCCCTACCAGAACATATTCCTGGTCCTAAGGCTACGATAGGTCTAGATTGTAATAGCAGTACAGCTAGTAGCGCAAGCAGGACAAAAATCAGATGTGGTGTTTTAGTGACTGACACTGCCTTCCAGCCCTCTAGCCAAGGAACATGCACATAGTGAAAGGTCTTTCCAAAAATGGGATTCAGTTTCATGGGAAAGAAAGAAACTTGGATTAATGAGTAAAGATAAGTATATAAATTATAAGTATTAAAGATAAGTATATACATTATTAGTATTACTTACTATCTGTCTGTGCACATACATGTTCAGTTTGTATGAACTGTGTTTTTATGGAATGGCTGAAACTCTCATCCAGTACAAGCACGTAATTGTCATTATTCCAGCAGCTTAGCTGAGATAGATTGCAGGGCATCTATATCTGAAATGAAAGGCAGAGAAAAAGAAAAACATTTTGCCACCCTTTGTGCGACGATATCATGTTTTATGTGCCTATAGCCTTCAGGAATGCTGTAGTCACGAGGTGAAATATGAACTTCCTCACACAGTGCAACACAGATATTTTGGCTTTGTAGCCATAGTTAATTGGATGCTTCAGACAAATGTCGTTATAATGGAAACGCTCGGTGGTGGTGCTGGGCTCAAGCCTCATCACAGGAACATCTTGGCTTGGGATCTGACCCAATGGGACAATTACGCCTAAGAAGGATTTGCAGTGACAAACTCCTTAAAAACCCGACGCTAGCCTTTTCCCGCTGGGACTGGGAAATGCCTTAGACCCTGTTGAGACCCCGTCTTACCCTGCTGCTACCCCCAGCTCCTAAAAATTTGGCCTGGAGGAGATTACCACCACGAGCTTGTGAACTACTTGATTGCTCAAGACCTTAGGGGTCCTGAGGACACCAGACTGGTGAGACTTACTTATGGCACATCGTGATCTTTAATGAGATTTTAGTTTCATTCCCAGGTTTGAGCTTATGTGTCTTTCAGCACGGGTAATAGATGTTTGCCTTCCAGCTCGAATCATGGCAAAAAACCAACGTTCTTCTGAACTCAAGAGTGTTTCTGGTTAAATAATTCAAATTTTTTATGGTTATGAGAGGATTCTGTTATATAGCAGAAAAAGAATGATATGTAATAAATTTAACCATCTGCTGAAGCGTGGCACTGCTGCCTGCCATGCAGCAACCTGGATAATTTATTTCAGCAAAGCCAATTCCTGCAGTTTCTGTGTCCTTTCAGTGATCCTTGAGGCAAAACTTGCGCCGAGTCTACTGGAGATCGTCTGCGTATTTCACTGCAGGTTTTTTGCCTTTCCAAATCTTCTGGTTGTCCTTCCTTTGTGCTTTGCACAACCTTCTTAATGATTTGAGTGTGCGTTGGCTGGGCAGTGGGTGCCTGATGGCTGTAGGTGCAGCGCAGGGAGATGCTGCACTGGCTGTTTCTGCTGATCTTGGGCTTTATATTCATTTAAAACTCCATTTGTCTTGTAAGAATCAAAACCAGATTTGATTTGACTTTGTAAATCACATTTCTGGGTGGGGAGAAGCAAAAATTGCCTGGAAGACTGTGAGCCAAATGGAGTTTGTTGCTCTCTCCTTGTTTATTTCACATCACTCCGTCGAAGTTTTACCTTTCTAAGAACTGCAGCTGATCGCATTTAGCTCTGCCTTTAGGACTTAAGAGTCCACATCTAGAACCTTTACAGCTTAGAACTAGCTAATCCTCAAACGAGCACAGCTGGGATCAGAAGTTAAAGATTTAATTTGGGCTCTGTATTTTAGCATGTTGAACCAGCTCTTCCCACACGCGAGTCTCTGAGGCCCCTTTCCTGCTCTGCTCCTTAAAAGGGACTGAATTTGTTTTGCCTTTTATTGTTGTTGCTCTTTTACACCAATACCAAGAATAAGCAGGGAACCATCTGGACCTGCTGTATTTCATATATTCTTGGAAATTATAGACTACGGTAAAGTTTACAAAGAAATGATTTGCAGACTGTTTTCTTCTTACATGTTTTTAATCTGTCTGTTTGTGCATCCCCATAGCCACCAAGTACTACACACGCAGCCTGGGCAAGCCTGCATTGAGCAATTAGTCTCCAATCTCTTGTAATTGTCGAGTAACCAGCATTGTGCCCCATGTCAGATGTCTTATTTTGCTAAGAAACTGTGAGCTACTGAGTTAGCAGCAACCTGAATTCCAGCCCGCTCTGCTGCCGCGAGTGCTGCACGTTTGCAGAGATGGCAAATGCTCTTCGTTTGCTTGCAGTGGGCTCTGGTTTAAGCGACCTTTTGCTGGATATTTCAAAAACATTGATAAAAGCAACATGCAAAGGTTGGCAGAGGTGAACCTCCCAATGGGAGGCAAATGATCCCTCTTCTGCCTCTTCTTCTCCTCCTCCTTCTTCTTCTCCTCCTTCTTCTTCTTCTTCTCCTCCTTCTTCTTCTCCTCCTCCTTCTTCTTCTTCTCCTCCTTCTTCTTCTTCTCCTCCTTCTTCTTCTTCTCCTCCTTCTTCTTCTTCTCCTCCTCCTCTTTCTTCTCCTCTTCCTTCTCCTTCTTTCTTCTCCTTCTCCTCCCTCATCACCAGTGTCCTCCAAGGGTTTGGGTGTGCTCCCGGCTGTGCTGTGCTGCCAGTTTGGTCGTTCCCTCCAGCCCAGAGAGTGCAGAAAGGGCCTTAGAACGTGCTTGGGTGGTAGCTGGGCACTGCACGCTGGAGGCAAAGCTAGTCACCAGCTGGAGTGCAAAACTTCTGCTGGAGTTGCTGGGCAGAGGTTGCTTAAATTTTCCTATTTTCTCCTTGGGGAATACTTTTGTATTCTGGAGCTGCTGCCTCTCTTGTGATGTGGGATGCAATGTGCTGCCCCACATCAGTCGGGTGTTTTTGCACAGCAAGTTCCCTCTTCCTTTGTAGACACAATAAATGATGGTCTTTCACTTTCTACTCATGGCTTTTGTCTCTTTAAGGATTTTTTTTCTCTTATTTCAGGGAACCCAAAACCGCAGTTTTATGGGGGTGTAAGGAGCTACTTTAGCAGGACATTCACTAGTGCACAATCGCCTTGGGGTTCCATCAGAGCAGATGTCGTGACCAGAGGGTCCTTGTGACTCTTGTGTGTTCAGTAACACAGTGGCTCTCTCCTTGTCCTCCTTTTCCCTTGTAAAAGTTTTGTTTGCTTTATTCTGGTGGCTCCTTGCACAGATTTTGCCCCCACCCTACTGTGAGCCAAGAGACGGGTCGCATCTCTGGATGCTCCGTGCAGATCAGGCTTCTGCAAGGAAGGAGAAAAACAAGCTGTCACGGATTTCTCTGATCTAACGGAGCATCACTCTGCAATGCAGACAATCAGCCTGCTATAAAATAAGCAGAAACACATCTGGCATCCCCAAAAAGCTGGACGCATCTTAAAGGCTCACTATATAACGGTGAGCACACCCACAAGACAGAATTGAAACGATGCTCAGATCTAAAAGCGGAACTGCAGATAAGCGTTGCTGCAGCGAGTTAATTCGTTTAGATCGGGTTCAAGTGAAAAACATGCAAGGAGAAAAACACCCCTGCAGGCATAGGTGCTGTGATGGTCTAGTCTCGCAGCCCACCGTGGCGAAGCCCTCCTGAAACCCTCTTTTCTTGCTTCTCCCCCTCTTCCCCTTCCCGTACCAGAGCTGAGTTACAGACCCACTGCTTGTTCTTACTTACAGACGTGAATCAGCATCCCCTTCCCAGCCAAGCCAAACAAACGCAAAATGAAACAGCGACGGTAGTGTTGGAATTCTATTTATTGATATTTTATTTCATGGGGAAGTTTTACTTGGGCAAAAGAGGCAGCAAGGATTGAGGCTTGCCCCTTCGTGGCATAGATTGCACATAGGAGCAGAAAAACCTTTCTGCCGGCTACTAGAAGCAACCTCTTGTGCTTTCACCGAGCTGCTCTCTTCACCTTGGCAGTTCAGGCAGACCCCTGGAGAGATGAGAGGTTTGGCTGAGAAGAGATCCCTTTATTTTAAAGCTTTCCCCCTTGCTTATCCACACCACTTCTGCTGATGCCAGTGACAGTCTCTCAGGAGTGAAACTGAAATCAGAACTTGTCCCTTAGCCATCAGTTTGTGCAAAGCAAAACACCATCTCAGGGTCAGTTGAACATTTTATTGATTGTTTTTTCCAATAACTATACATTTTGAACCAATTGGAAATGGGATTTACTTCGGAAAGCCTCGTGATCTCTTTTTGTAATCTCCTGAGCCTGATCTGAAGCTAAAGCTTTGCCACACCTCACTGCTTGTATTTTAGATCCTCACCGGCTGGCAGACGTAATGCTGTAAAATGCGAAGGACACTTATGAAAAAACGCATGTATAAACCAGGCATTGTTAAAATAACAGTGGGTCTCGTATGTCCAAACAGGCTTTCTGAAAATTTTTGGATAAAAATTGTGGCAGGGATAATGACTGCTTTCATCCTGAGCTATTTTGCTGTGATTTTGTTTTGTATAACAGTTACATATTATATTACTCAGTGGAGTTTATTGTTCTTTTACCTCACTCCAGGCGAGTAGCAGCATTTTAGCGAGGCTGGAGACGCTCCAGCTGGATCAAAGTGACATGAAAATGATCAAAATTTCTCTTCCAGTTACGTCTGCAACACACTTTGTTTAGGAAACAAAAAAATGTGTTTTAAATGTTAATTGAGACTGTGTTTATCTCCTGGAGGGAGGATCGTCTTCCAAATAAACTAGTGGATGTGGATGAAAAAGTCAACCTCTTCCAAGCCATTGAGAAAAATGCTTATTCTGCCACCCCATCCCATCCCTGCCGAGGATGGAGCTGGAGTTTTTCCCCACATGGCTGAAGGGAAGCAATTTGTCTGCTGCGCTTTCCTCATTTATCTCTGTCACGACACGGTGTAGCGGGATCCTCTTTTGTTCGAAATAAGTTGACTTTTTCTTATGAAAAAAAAAGAAATGCCTCGCTCCTGATGCTCAGGCCATGTTCTTTCAAAGTCCCCCGTGTATTTTTATGGCCCAGCTGTACTTGGAATCAAACTTTCAGCAATTTTTTCTCTCCTGTTATGAGGTCCCAGAAGAGAAGAGGTAATAAAGCGGCTGCCCTGCAGTGTTTGGAGTATTTCTATGGCACAGGACTTCCCCTCCTTTGCTGCTAACCCTTGGGAAGGAGAGATTTTTATTTTTTTTGCCTTTGCTTGCACTTCAACATAGCCTTTAAGAGCAAAATTTCTCCCAGTTTCTGTAAGAATCCACTGAGAGCCAAGTGGGTTTCGCTGAGTGAACCCGTACACAGTTATGAACATCTGATACGAGCTCCTGAGTTAATTGCTGCTTTTCCCACTTAGATATTTTTAGGACTGTGGAAGCTGATTCTAACAAAACAGAGGAACCCCAATGTATTTCTTCACCTTTGGGTTTTCTGTTTTAGTACACGTACCTACAGGAATAATTGGAGCTGGAATGCCGTGCCCTTGTTGATCAGAGATATGATAAAGTATCTTTGCTAGAAAATATCTGCATGTTTAATATTATGATCTGAAGCATCCCCTTTAATCCTAATTTGTGGGGGATGTGATTTTGCTGATAAATGGGCAAGATCACATCCCCCTGAACAACGGGCTGGCGAAACTTCGGCTGCGGAGGGCATATCAGACTTCAAGTGCGTTGGCAGTGATGGATACAGCTGCCAGGCAGCTCCTTATGGCCTGTGATGAGATCTTGAAAATGAAATCTCATTTGAAACTCCTCTTTGTCTTGGTGTTAGTCATGGGCCTCGATCTGAGGGTTACTCCTAAATTAATTGCTGTGATTTACGAGGTACTTTAACCTCTCGTTGCCAGTGAGAAGAGATGCTCATAGTGCCCCCCACTGCGTCTCGCTCCTCTGCCGAGGAGTTGTCCAACTCGGGCTCAGTACCACAGGTGACAACAGGCTCGTAGGTGATGCTGCTAAATATAACAACTCAGCAACACCCTACAGGTCTGGAAAGTTATGATCAGGATTTGTTTTATGGTCTGAAAAATAGATGTTGACTCCTGGCAAAGTACCTGGAGGAGAAGACCCAGCGGACAGGAGCAGCGTGAGAGCTTGGCCCCTTGTGGGAGAGTTTGGCTGCAAAGGGCAGCACCAAATAAAGCAAGAAAAGGGCACAGAAACTGGGTGTAGTGAAGTAGCTCAGCTGGGCTCGAAAGGCTCATCAAAGATGGAAAGGGAGCTAGATCTGCTGCTGGTGCTCTGACCAGGCTGAGCTGCTGCCCTAGAGCAGTGCAGGACCCTTCAAAGAGGCTTTAAGGACTTGGGTTCTAGGTTTGAGGAGGAGACAAGGTGCACTGGAGTTAGGCTGAATCAGGTAATACCAAGAGGAACAAATGTAATGTCAATAGCACACACAAATAAGCTCCACATTTGATGCAGCTTCCTTTTTGTTCATTATTATGGTCCTCAATGACAATGTTTTATCTGGCAGCGTGCGCACAAACCTCCCTTGCGCAAGCGAGCGGTGAATTAATTTGTTTAAAATCTCTCTTATCTCCTCGCGTCATCTAGGAGCGAGCCCGAGTATGCCTGATGTATTTGGTGAACCAGCTGGCCAACATGGAGCACTCGTTCCACCATATTCTTTTGCTGGAAATTAAGAGTCTCACCGACACTTTCTCGAGTATCTTGGGCACCCAGAGCCGAGACATCTACCGCATGAGCAACAGTTTTACTGCCATAGCCAAGCTCCTCGGCCGACAGCTGGAGAATGACAACATGTCCGGAGCCAGGTAAAGCTAGTTTTTGAAGGATAAAGTCACTACCATCTCCATGGCGGAATAAATTAAATATATTCAAGTTGTGATGAATGAACAATCAGCCGAAAGTGAGATGTACCCGCAGCTCCTACAAATATAAATAAAGGAGTTGTTGGGGTTTTAGCACTTACAGAAAAGGAAGAAAGCCGTCTCTCAGAGAAGTAGACCAAGGCAATCTAAAAAGCTCCAGTTAAAAATAAATCGGTGAAGTCAGGCTAAGCAATTATCACTGAGTTTATTCTAAAAGATACTGAAGCTGATGAGTTCAACAGCTGGCGTAGCTCCCTGACAAATAAAAAAAGTCTGAAAAAGAATTCTCAGGCTCATACAAAAAGATGTTCTGCTCACTCAGCTCCTTTTAAATGTGTTATCCTAAGGTCGAAGGGCTGGGAACATTGCTGCATTCTTCATAGTAAGAATGTAAGTGTTTTTTAAATATACGGTGGTAGTCGCTTTTAATTAAGGAGAGACTTATAATTAGCATTATGTGTACTGAAATAGGTCAAGAGGGTGCAAAGGAATAGTAATTCTTTGAAAATATTTAACACAGATGTCAGAAAACTCATAACTGTGAAGGATAGCCTTGGAGACGGGCTTGTAGAGTTGGAGCCAAAACATTGAGGTCATTCGAGAAACAATTAATTGGTATCCTGGAGAGAGTTAAAAATGAAAAAGGAGAGGAACCCTGATACACTCCCTCATTTTACAACAAGGCTGTAAGAACCGTCCAAATTTCACCCGGTGGCAGAAACCTCAGCTGGAATGGAGCCCTCGGCGCTGTTTTTGGGGAAAGATCCTTTGAAGACGGGCAAAAGCCAGAGCAGAGATAGCAAAATGAGCTCAAAATGACAGACGCGATCTCCGAAACCAAACTGGGCTGTGAGGAAGAGTGTGCCCGATGAAGCAGGACAGGATTTGAGGCTTTGGTAACGAAGTGTTTTCACACAGCCCATTGTGCTCCTTTGATTTACAGCAGAAAAATGACTTGATTTGCTAAAGTTTTGTCATTTTTCCTATTTCTTAATCTCTTCTGTGGTTAACGTTTATCCCCAGAGCTGATGAACAATGGTAAAAAGCAAGAAAAGGTTTTCATTAAAATGTTGTCACTGTGTTTTCCCCATTTTTCTCTAATATTCCCCTTTGTTAAGGACTTGCTTCGCTGAGGAGTAGAAACTTCATCTTTGGGAGTGGGCTTACAGGTGCAAAACACCATTTAGGTGGAGAGTCTGGGCGAAGGGAGAAAAGAGGCAACGATAATATTTTTCAGCGGGTTTTCCAGAAAACATCCTTAGTTTCCTTCAGGAAAAAGAATAAATCTACTGATTATGCTGAGAAGGAAAGGAAAAGGCTTTGGTTGTTTGCTTGCTTAGGTTGTGTTTTCCCGGTTGGGCTTTTTGAGAATTCAGTTCTAAATTTCAGGCCTGTATCAAGGAAAATATCAGCTAAATCAGACAGGAACAGTACGGCGTGGCAATTAAGGCTAAAACAAGAATTCTCTGCTAATTTGAGCAGAGTTTATCCTGACTTGGACCAGTGCAGATGTCAACCTGGAAATACCCTCCCAGCTCCAGAGCTCCTGCAGTTCCCGAGCTGCAGTGTTGTTGGGTTTTTTTTAAAGAGCAGCAATCCAGAGCATTTACGCTGTGAAAGGAAAACAGGATTTTAAAACGTGTGGCTGGATTATAACCATTCCTTCCAGAATCATGTGTTTACATAGGGAGAAACTGATTTCTTTAGAGCGATGGCTGGCGCGGCGTTGTTTGACACGGGGAATTTTACACGGAGTTAGCAGAGAGTATAATTAAAACCATGCGATGCTCCATTGCCCCTTACTGTCACAAAATTGCGTGTTATTTGGTCTCAGAGGTGCTTTTTAAGAACACATACAGAGTTAATGGACTGATCCAACCTAAAAGTATAGCATGGTCAATTAAAAGAAGGCAAGGCAGGAAAGAAAGAAATAAAACTTAATGATGCTTCCAAGCCTTCGTTCTGCACAAGAGCTGAGCATTGACAGGCTGTGCCAGCGCCACTCGTTTTAGTGGAGTGGCTGGATGAAATTACCTTCTCTCCTGAGAGGACAGGTCTAGCACATGGCATCACTGAGAATTCCTTTGCCGTTCCTTTTCTCCAGTATTTGTCCTTCTCTAAATCAACATTTGTCGCAGTGAAGAGAGCTCCAGCAGCATCTAAGACTTTCCTAAGGCCACACAGCCTCCTTCAAACCCACGCATCCACCCTATTTGAAGAATAATTATGTCAGTATGTCAACGAACCACAAGGACCCAGCACAGAGCTGAAGGCCCTGGAAGCGATCTCATCTCAAGAGTAATTTTAGCAATTTCTGTCTGGGCGTGCTCATTTTTTCCCCATTTTAAGCACCTAACTGGTGATGTTGATAACAGTGCTGGAGGTCTGGAGAAACACTCTTCAAATTAACGTATCGCTCTTGACTTGCTGACCTGTATATTTAGGTCTCTTTTTTACAGAGAACTTCGAAGTGGTGAAACAACGCGTAGCGTAGTCTTGTCTTTGCAAGCCCAGGTCCTCATGATTTCTCAATGGGTTTGTGCATCCTTTGCCTCTCGAAAAACAGCCTGAGCTTTGGTGTAAGCTGATCCTGCTCCAGCAACCTCAGCAATGTACCGAACGTCTCCTGCCAAGATTTCAAACAATAGTTTATTTTACTGTTGCTGGAAGGGGGGGAGGTCAACAGGCGTCCCGTTGGGCGTGGGGTGGAGGCTTCATTGAACGTTTCACTTGGGGTATGTGCTTTTGGCTTCCTGGGAAGTGATGGTGAGGGCAAAGCTGGGGACATGTGAGAGCCAGTGGTCGCCAGGGGACACGTCTGGGGCTGAGGGTTCTGCCTCCCTCCTGTACTCTGAAATCCCAGACACCAACATGGTCACAAAGGAGGTGGTGGCTTGAAGGTCACCAGCGATGAGCCCTGTATGAGCTAAATTACTGCCTCTTTACCAATAGCAACTAAGATTCATTAACACGTTTCTTCAGCAGAAGCGTTTTCACACGTTTCCTTCACAAAACCCGTCAGAGCTTGATGGGAGAAGGCTGGACAAAAAAAGTGCTGTTATAAATGGCTGATTTTTATTTCCAAACAGCATCAAGGCTTGCCGGTTCAGGGCTATCATTCGCAAACCCCATCGGTCCATCAGCGCTCCCTCGGTAGCCAAAGGGCTTTATGTGTATTTACGTACGTAACGGTCATTTTTCTTAGTGCTTAGTTCCCACAATGGGAGCAGTGTTGAGAGTTGCGTTGGAGTGACAGCTCTCTAATAAATTAAATCTTGTCCCACATCTCCAGAAAGATTTGTTGGTAAAGGTCATGCCAAGGCTCTTTATTACAGATGAATATATTTTTTTTTCCTCCCTGAAGTGTTTTGCAGTGTTAATATATTATGAGATCTTGCCTAAATTAAAAACAAAACAAGACAAAACTCGCCAAATCCCCTGAGAAATATCCTGAGCTGCCTTTATCAAAACAAATGAAAAAGCACATTTTGTGATGCGATACTCATGGTTGGGGTTTTTTTTTAAACATACTTTGTTTCCGCAATTGGTAATTTGCTGTATTTGGGAGCTTTTAATGGGCTTCCCGACTGAGTATGACTTGTTGAGACTCTGCTGCTTTGAAAGTGCTCTGTCAAAACTCTCATTTGTGGCTTTCCGTATCCATATTTTACAGATTTAGCTCATCAGGAAAAAAACACAAAGAAATGGTCAGAAGTGAAATGAGCAAATTTTTACCAGTAGAATATCTGACAGTGCATTTTTTGATCCTTTTTATCAGTTTTGCTTCCATTTATTTTAAGGTTATCTTCTAAATTTGCGTTAAAATGTTACATATTCTAAGATTAACATAACAATCAAGTCTTAAATAAAGCAGCTTCCCCTGCAGTCCTACAAGTTGATTTTAACTCTCTATTTTTTTCTTTCTTTTCTGCTGAACTTCAGTCATGTTGCCTAGGTTTTTTTCCCGAACCTTTTCTGCCTATGTGCTGGGTTTTCAAAGATATTTTTCTTACCCAGAGCACAGTAACTCAGTAGGAACTGAATGTACTTTGGTCAAACCTTTAAAACCACATCCTTCTATAAACTCTGCAATTAGCTCTTACTTTTTGGGTTCTGAAAATAACGTAACGAGTTGCTGTTTAGCAACCTTGAGAGAATGGTTTAAGCTCAGTGGGAAAACCTTGCTGTGGGACTATCAGGCAAAAAAAGAGTTGGCGTTTACTTATGCAAATATAACCCAGGCTGGTCAGAGATGTCCAATGTTTCTGGTCCATCTGACAGTGATGTCGATCTAGAAGATATTTTTACAAATGATTAATCGACCTCCAAGAGAATCTCTGCTGAAATGTAATTATTTTACCAGGTGCATCGTATAGGTCACGGGCACAAAGGCAGCACAAGCATCACAGTGTGCCAGAGCTCAATCTCTGCTCTCTGCTTCCTTAGGGTGGAAAATGATGCTGAAGCAGAGTCTCCTGTCCTGCTGGATAATTTAAAATCTGTTGTGAATGGGAATGAAGATGACGAAAAGCTTCAAGTTAAAATACAGGCTTTTGAAGAGAAAATAAACGTTGACAACAGTACTCCTGGCTCAGTGCGGAGATACAGTTTAGGCCAGGTTTCTAAAGAGGAAAGGAAGGATATGAGATTTAACAGGTATGGCTCTGTGTGAGTGGCTTTCATGAACATCGGTTTTATTATAAAACTTTATCCAAACGTTGAGAATTTGGTCCGCTTGTATGATACCTCTGGGCATCCTAAGTCTAATTTTAACCAAACCTCATATCCATTAATACTGAGGCTGGATGAAGTCTTTCAAAATTATTTATTTAATCGTTCCCTGTGCCCTAAAACAGCACAAGGGATAGGAAAATATTTACAGATATTACCAGAAAGGAAGATGTAGAGACCTTTCTTGGGTATTATTGCTAAAGATGTGCATCAAGGCTTAACTTGATCCTCGGAGCGTAGGCACGGGGCCATCGAGAACTGGAGGCTGAGTGTCGGTTCAGTCAAACGGCTGCGGATGGCATTTTTATGATGTGGTCAATAAAGCGTACCCTCCAGTCCCAAGCTTATGAGTTTCTTGCAGGTAGGTTGACTAGCTCCCTCCACGGCGTGCAGATGTTGCGATATATGGATGTTATTTGGTTGGGTTCACTTATTAAAGCTGCAGCTTGAGTTCTGTTTTTGAAATGTGTATTTCCCAAAAAGAGAATTGCCTCTGGCTAAGCCAGCCTGATGCTCAGCTCTCTGAACTAACTCAGAAGAGCACCTATCTGGGTGATTTTTGTGTCTTAACCTCTATTTCAAAATGTTTCTCCCTTCCTTAACCGCCTTCCAGGTCCAAAAGCCTTGCTTTGCACGCGGTCCGCATGAAGGGAGTCAACTCAGAGAGTGGACAGGACGAGGAGAATGGGGAGATAACAGCTGACATCTCCTTCACCGAGATCTACATCAGCCAAGAAAATGACAAATCACCTTTTGGTGTCGATACTGAAACAAGGCAGCTGGGAAATTCTTTGGTTTCGCACCAAAGTATTGATTACCCGAAATCGGCAAATTTGCCAGAATCCACCAAAGAAAAAGCCCTCGAAGGACACGCGGAGGCAGCGACGAGCCCTGTGGAATACCAGGACAAGCTCTACTTGCACTTGAAGGAAAACCTGGGTAAAGTGAAAGCATACGTCACCGAGATGGGGCGGAAAATTCCTATCCCTGATCAGTGTGTTATTGAAGGTAAGAGGTCTGAGCCTTTCTGATTGCGAGAACTTTGCGCTGAAAGTTCTCTCGGGGTTCAAGCAAACGGGCAGCAAAGATCCTCCAGCACAGAGTTCACAGGCAGAGGAGGAACATTCGCTTTATAAAACAACACCGCAGTGTTTTGAAAGCTTCCAGGACTGTTGTTTGCCCCGGGGATATAGCGCAGCCCTGACTCCCACGAAGGTCAACATGAGGATTGCCTTTTGGCTTTCATGGGGAAGGAACCCTGTGAAGGAATTCTTAAGCCTCCTTCTTGGCCCACTGGGTTGGTCTAGAACAGATCCGTGTCTCCTTCCTCATTATCATGACGTTACTCAATCGGTTGTCTTTACAAGACACACCAGAAACGAAGCAGGTTGGGACCCAGCCCAGGCACAAAGCTCCTTGGAGGAGCCGTGGAGCGAGATCCCCGGGGTTGGGTTGGATCCCACCTCACCACTCCCTTGTTTAATGTTTTCTACTTTCATCAAGGGGTGGGTATTTGTTTTCAAGCGCAAGGATGCTGGTTTCGGGGGAGTGCGGGGGAGGCGGGCGATACCCTGCGAGCGAGGTCTTTGATACTCCTCTTTAAAGTCGATATTCCAGGTTGAGTTGTGAAGCCTCTTGCTTATGCCGAGCAGCAGTCACTCCCTTTAAGGTGGATTTGTGTGCACCCAACCGCTTGCTGGTGGTCGTGAGCTATTTCCAGCCCAACCTTTCAATGGGCCACGTTGATTCCAAAAATCAACAAATTAACCCAAACGACTTAAACTCAATAAATCAAATTAATTTGCAGTCACTTGAAACATCATCAGTACTGCTCAGCTTCAGCTCCATCAAAAATCAACTTTGGTTGATGGAATACTTGCTTGTTTTACTTTCTCAGTGGTCAAGGAGTTGAAAAGCAGTTTCCACGCTTAAAAGGGATATAACAATATATATTTTTAAAGCTTATGTTTCCTAAGAATTTCCTAAATATCTCAAATTCCAGGTTTACTATGTGAAAGAGTTGTGTGGTGGAACGAATGATAAAACTTCTGGCTCATAAAATTACAGTGGAAACATGAGAGTGATCAATCTAGCTTTTGAAGTACCGAATGCTACGACATGGCATTAATCTAATACAATACCTTGAATATTTTTGAACGTATTGCTCAGTTTCCTTTCTGAAGTACCCATTATGATACATCCTAAGCATGCAACTGTTTCTAAATTCATTCAAACTACTGTAATTTCCTGAAAATCTTCAACTAGCATTCTTAGGCAAATTCTCTTGAACAGGGACATGTGCAGAACAGGAGATTTATATGACTCATTCTGAATATGTTGTAGAAATGCAGTCTGGCTCATTACACGGGGGACAGCTTTGTTAATATTTCAGATATTACATAAACCATTCCATCAAAAATCATACAGTTATTACTCTTCCGTGATTACTGCATGCTACGAAGGCCCATTCGAAAGTATCTGGTTTACTTTTCAATTAAGACACTTGGAAAATAGTTTAAAAATTTAGGAAATAGTGGCAAAATGTGTTGCAAGAAAAGAGCGCTGTGGTGTGCTCGTAACGGAGAGTGCAAGTCTCCCCACGTACCCTTTCAAGAGGAGAATTATTAAGAAAAATAGATACATCAGATGACATGGCTGGAGCCTGGATCTTGAAGGACGAAGGAGACTGGTAGCAGGAGTGTGAGGATAATCAGAGACCTCCATATGAAAAAAAATGGGCTGGGACTTCACAGTCCAGAAAAGAGACAGCTGATAGAGGTTTGCAGCATCACGAATGACCGAGAGGATTTATTGGGAGCGGTGGCTCGCTCTCTGTCCTGATACACATACTAGAGAACATGTAATGAAGTTGTCAGGAAGCAAATTCAAAATAAACAAAATATGTGCCTCGGTGTGTAATTAGATATACGTAATTAAACGGCGGAAGCAATCGCTACAGTGCATAAATTATGCTGAAAAGGGTACCTGATTTCAAAAGGTAAATTTATGGATTAGAGCCATTCAGGGGTTATCAAAATAACAACACCCCTGACTCTGGAAACGCTGGGGCCAAGGATGGAGGCAGCAGGAGGGAAATGACAGCTGTGTGCTCCTTCTCTTCTTGCCCTCCTCACTTGCAGCTCTTTTAGTCACCCTTTGAGAGCTCGTGTCAGGATCAGGTACCGGGGCTCTTTCTGACTCCCATCAGAATTGCCATTCCAGTGTCCCTGGAAAGGACAAAAATGGAGAAAATTTGGTTTCTTAACCAAAGCAGGAGGAAACCAAAAGGGAGGACTTACAAACGATTTTCAGCTACGTGCAAGGCAGTTAAGAGAACAAGGGATAAGGCAAGAAATAACGAGCTTAAATACCAATAAAAGATGACTCAGCTTAAACAGTGGATAAAGGGGCAGATGTGACAACCACTGCAGGTCTCCTGAATGTCTTGATTACATCCTCGGGCATCCACATTTTCTGTGATTTGCAAACTTTCTTTTTTGCTATCAAGTCAGACATTTGCTGTGCAGGTCTTCGCCGTCACAAAATATTTTTGCCTTACAGGGTGCATTTTTTTAGTCTCCTTGATTTATAAGCTCATTAGGATTACACTTTATGTCAAAATTTATGTAATGTTAACTCCAGTCTTAGATTTTACAGCCGTGAAGGGATATGGGTTAAGCACTCTAAGGGTGGATCCATGATCTGTCTGTGACAGTGTGAAGATGCCTCCTATACACGTTGGAAAAAAACAGAGCCGAGGACATGTGTTTTTTTATCTCATTTAGTTTTTAGTGGTTTTGGCGAGAGAGAGCTGTGAGTCGGGCGATGATCCTGCAGCAGAAGCAGGGTTAAGACTGGGCTGTTGGTCAGAATGTCTTATACCAAGAAAACGGTCAAGTTCAGGCTGTTTAGAAGAACAGACACGCTAGAAAATCTTACCGGCTGCACGTGTGCATGCGCTTAAGCGAACCTTTTGGAACTGAGAGTCACAGAGGGGATTTAAACTAGGCCAGAAAGAAGGCATCTGAAACCACAAAAATCCCTTTATTTTAGCTTGTTTCAGTGTGGGGCTGAGGGTTTGGTTCAGTTCCTGCTTAGTTTGAACCACTTTGCCCCGGTTCGCATCCCTGCCGTACCTCAAGCAATTTGGGGTATTCTCTTATGGCATTTTTGTCACTTTAATCTTCTTAATCCTGTGGATCTTTTCCTCCAAATAATAAAAAAAAAAGCACCCACTGTATTTGTCAAGCACTTCAGCTTCTGTGGAGCTAAGCAAAGTAATTATCTCATCACCCCATATTTTTCCAGACGGTTTGCGATCTTACATCTTATCGGTACCTCCAGGACCTTGCAGATGGCAGCAGCCCAGGCTTGTGCATCTATTATTTCCTGAATGCTCCTGAGTTTGGCTATTGCTTTCCAGGTTTTCCACTCCAGTTTTACTTACTTTTTAGATAATTGGGACAAAAAAAGCTGCCATTAATACCTACAGCTCAGAGCACTGAGTGCCAAGCGAGCCGTCGGAAAGAGCGCGCTGCGTGTCGAGGATGCAGAAGGATTCACCCACCTTCGGCCTCCTTTCTAAAAGGGTCAAGATCTCCTGCATCGTTCAGTCCTTGGTCCCCGATGTTCAAAATGCAACGCCATCCAGTGAAAAATGTCATAACCGTTTTCTAGGAGTAAGTCACTCCTGGCTCCTTGGTGCCCTACAGGAGGGAACGCAGACAGCAAACATTTTTTGTGGGGGATTAAAGGCAGAATGCTGAAAGAGGAGGAGGCAGCAGGGGGAACAGGTTGCAGTACGCTGGCCCTAAATCTGGTGGTTGTTATGTTTTATGCCGTATTGAGAGGTAATCGCTACCATATGACGGCGTGGATGGAAAAGCTCGTCGGTCCCCTGCAGTGCTCACCCCTGCACCGGTCTGATAAATTCCAGCATTCCATAAGCCAAACGTTGATTCGGAACAGATGCGCCTCCGCTCCTTCGGTGGGACCACGGAGTTGCATAGGATCGGGCCAGCGCTTCCAGAGAACAACTCTGCCGCTAGGCCAAAAAAAATAAAAACATAAGCTGGCGTTTTGTCCTGCAGGACTGGTGTTTCAAACGCGTCCCAAATGGGAGGGCAGAAGCACAAACTCACGGGATGGGCACGGCGCTGGCGGCGATCTGTGTCATCCACATGCAAAGCTAGTAGTGTTAAAAAAAATATAAAGCAGCGTTTCTTGAAGCTGGCTGCTTTAAAAATTGCCCTTTTCTCCTAGAAACGTGTTCGTTGTTTGCATGCTTATTCGTAACCCAAGCTGAAGAGATCAGGCAAAGGAAACTGAAGAGGAAGCTGAAAAAGGCTCAAAACTGAAATTTAAAAACTTGCATCCATTTCTTATTCCCTGGTTTTGTGTTTAGGGGTGGCTTTGATTCTATTTGGGATATTTATGAGCATACTTTTACTCCTATTAACAGATTTTATTTAATAGTAAAGGATTACCAATGTAAATCAAATAATGCGTTAATTGTCCCCTGAACCGGTGGCTCTACCTACTTGCCTACGTCCCTCCTGGTTCAGCCCAGTGTGTTAAGCTGGAATAAACAACAACTCTGCTGACATTCTTCTGTTTATTTTTTGTTCTTTTTCCCCAGGCACAACCACTTAGTTGTGAACTTTAGAATTGCAACATATATTCTCTTGTTTCTTGTAGGAACAACAAGTTGTTGCTTACTCTCTAGCTAGAATTTTGAGACTTGACAACAGATGTGATGAAAAACGTCTTGATCAGAGGAGTGTTTCATTGGGATCTTGAGCTCTGCCCTTCAGGGCATTTGATGCCTATGTGGGGTTATTTTGGTGGGATTTTTTTATTCTTTTTTTGGCAATCAAATCCTCGGTGAGCCCATGCAGTAGGGGAATGCTGTCAGAGTCACAGTCCTGGCCGCTGAAATGGTGTTTCTGTAAATCCTTCTTTAGGTCAGGTGGGACAGGTTACTCAGTGAAAACAGAAGTTGGCATAAACACCCTTAAATTTGCTTTTCATGTTTAGAAGCGACGGCAGTTTTTAAAGTACAAACCTGGTTCTAAAGTCTGTAAATGTGCAGCTTAAATGTGACCAACCTAATAGGCTTAATGTCCGCGGGGACATTAGTTAATTTGTTCCTTCCTTTCTCCCGTACGTGCTTTTGGTCAATTATTTTAAAGAGTTGCAGATCCATCTTGCCCATAATTTGGACTTCAAATTACAGCAAAAAGGACCTTTAGTCGACGTTAGATTTCCAGCGCTCACCGAGCTGTGCCGTGCGCTGGGGGAGCTGTTGCAGAACGAGCAGGTTTTGTTGACAGGACTCTCCTGTGTGTTGTATCTTACCGATACCCTCAAAGTTTCCTGGGGCTAAATTAATCTTTCCTTACCAAATGAAACCAGGGTGGGCGTTTACGTGTTTCCACAGGTTATTATGCAGAGAATTAGGGAGCTAAGTTGTCTCCACCTTTGTAGGCTGAGGCTGGTTTCTTCTCACCTTCAAAGCTCTGGGGTTTTTTTTAACTCAAGCCTGCAAAGTGATTTATTCCTTCTATCAAAAAAAAAATGGTGCCCCCTTTTCCTAGCTAACCCTACAGGCCTGATCCCTGCTGGGATGGACATTTTGAAGTTTAAACAATGGTTCTTTGGGATGCTTAAGTAAGAGATTGTACAGGTGCAATATCTAGTATAATATTTCTAGTATAAACTAGAAATAAGAAAATCCACAGTGAGTGTTGTTAATCTGCTACAGTGGGATACAGTGCATAGGCCCTGAATCAAAATTGCTGCATGAGTGGAGAAATACTTTCAAAGAGTAATATTGCCACTTCTAGAAACTTCCAGTGCTTTGGCTTGGCTTCTGAAGATGGAAACATAGCATACAAAAGTCAGTGTCTAACAACCGCTGGGTGTTAGGTTAACACTTGCCAGATATAATACAGATATTTTAGGGGGGTATTTTGAGCACAGCAGACTCTGATAACCCGTGGAACAGTCTTAACAACATTGGGGGTGTAGAGCGAGAGAGCTCTAGTGATGTGGTTACATTGGAATAAAAGTTGAACCCTGTTTTGTTATTCATAGAGAGCTGCGGTGGTTCATGATCTCTCAGAATTTTGGCCAGGTGCTGGAGCACCTGGTTACTGGTGAGCAGAGGGATGTGCTGCAGGAAGGCCGAGCTTTTAGTCCTGCTCCCTCAGCCTCAGTGGACGCTGTCAAATTTTGGAAGATGTGCCTGTGTGACTACTACCATTTGTGGTTGTAGTTAAATGTCTGTCTCCGAGCAGGTGATACGAGCAGCCACTGGTTATTCTGCAGAGCAGGTATATCCAGTGTGCCAACCCCATGTACCGTGGGTCAGTCTTCTTCTTCCCCCCCCCCCCCCCCATTTTAAACATTTTGTGAAATGGTACGGCATAATTTATTTTATTTTATTTTATTTTTCCCCCCAACATGTCATTTTCCTCTTCACCTTCATTCTGGGCAGTTTTCATGTGCCCAGATGACAACAAGAAATTACCTACAGGTCTCCCAGGACTGTAAAAATGAATTTCCATGGTACTGGTGTGTTGGTTGACACTTGAGTGAAATACAGCGTAACGGTGCTAGATACGCATCAGGCCACCTTAGCCTTCATCAGAATGGGTTTGTTAGTTAAAGAGCATTTTCCACTGACTGTGGGATAGCTGAGATTAGCTATGTTGAAACTGGTATTTATTGGAAAACACATGTAGTAAGCTTTGGCTTGTTATCAGACATTGCAAAATTCAGCACATCAAATGCAGCAGGACTAGTTGTGAGTAATCACTCATCTCATACCAGAGGCTTGAAGGTTGTCTGGGTAGGAGACTTTTTTCTCTGGGTATTGACACACAAACGCTGCTTTATTTCCAGGAATTAGCTTTTTGCTCAGCCAGCACGCACTCCAGTGCCCAAGCTGATTTTTTTTTTTGCGTGTATTATCAGCCTCAGCATTCTTCTCAGTGTCTTGCTAAGAAATCAGTTAGGTTTTCGTGTTTCTCCATATATCCTTTGCAATCTCTTGTTCTGCAGCATTTAGCAACCTCCTTCAACAGTGCCATCAAGCTCAGTCCCACCTAGCACTGGGCATCCTTCCTTAATTGCTAATCAGCGGCTGGTAGCCTGGAGCTCACAGCTTCCATAACTCCTGCGGAGGTGGCCCAGGTGGGATTAAGTAGCTTGACACCCTTTTCCCAGGGTCAATATGTGGTTTATGGTCACTTTTAGGTAAGAGTGGTTTCCCATAACAAAGCATTAAACTTTTCACATAGGTGGACCAAGGCCAAGCCTTGACTTCTGGTTGAGTGCTTTGAAGTTAAGGTTTTGTTAGCATCTGTCGTGCAGAAACCAGGGGTCTTGAGACTGGGCCATGCCATTGGAAGAGCATTCTGCCAACAGACATCATTTAGTTTTGTGCTTTAATACAGCCCAGGACCTACCGCTGCTCCAATTAACCCCTTCAGTTTCTCAAACTCCTTTATATTGAACACGAGCACCGGCAGGTTTGGGTATGAACCAGTAGGTTTGGGCAATTAGGTTAAACTCAAATTTTCCCCACAGCCTCTAATCCAAGAGCAGTGGATTTTGTGCCCCATCTTTTCCCTACTAAGGTGAGTGCATGGCATGTGGGCATGATGTAGCTGTGGTCTGCAGCCAAGTTAGTTTTCTTTGGAGAACTGTTATCTTCATTTAGCAGCTGGGGGCTTGTCTAGCTCCTTCCTCCTGTCACTTTGGAGAGGAGTGACCCTGATGATGTTTGTACATCCTGTTCATCTCAACATCATTTTGACTTGGTTCCTGAACTCCTCTCTGAGAGAAAAGCTCACTGCCTGGGCTGACCTTCTAGTGCCTCTGGCTTTTCTTTTGCTTTTGCCATCGCTCCTTCTGGCCCCGTATTGGCTTATGCACCTGCCTGTGATTAAAGATTAACGAACATCCCGTTGGGTTCTGGTGACTCCAAGCTTCTCCTGCTGTAACGCTGCTGATTATACCCTGTAAGTGCCTTTCCATCTCAGAGCTCTTCTCCTTTGCTGCAGCAGAGTCACAATTTGCTCTGCAGCCCCAGCTTGACACTGGTGACTTCCTTTTCTCAGCAAATTCAAACAGCTTTGTCAAAGGATGATAAAATAGTTTCCACTTCCCAGCTTCTGAAGTTTTTTTCTCACAGCCTAATAGCCATCTGGCCTCTGCAGCACCTTCAGCAGGTTCCAACACCCCAGGTTTGAATTTTCTGTGTTTTCAGTGGCAATCCATTGATACTTTTGCTCTAGATACCTCTGGTAAACTCGTTCTTCGTGCATCGTGGGTTTATGTGGAATATTGAATTTATTACATTTCTCTACTAAGCTTTCGCATCTTGATTAGATGAAAAATGTTAAAAACAAGTATTTCAAGATGGTCTGTTGTTGGACAGAAAGGCTGCCTTCTGATATCTGTCTTCCTTGCTGCCGCCTCTCTTTACCGGCAGATCCAGAAGGCTCTGCTATTTAAACTGTTAACCATTAGCCACATTTTCTAAAAAATAAAATTCATTTTTCTGGTTAGGGGAGCAGGTCGGGGCTTCAGGAAAAGCAAGAAACAGTGGCTTCATGCATGAATCAGTCCAGCAAGCTTGTCCAGCACTTGTCTGTCCATCGTTTCTGCCTTTAGCTAGGAAACAAGTGCAGCAGCTGGTGGGACTGGTCGTTTCCCCCTCACACCCCTTCCAAGTTCAACTCTCCGACTGGGTGAAGAGGGTGCAACTCTTCCTCGTGTTCATATTAAGGCCATCAGCCAAGGATCTCCACCTTTTTCTGCACCTTTCACCTTGGAGAGCTGCTTGGTCCCCTTCAAAGGTGCTATAAGATGATACCGTTAGTTAAGTTACCAAAGAAGTCCAGCTGGGTTGCCCTTAATGTGCTGTTGTCATTGCAAGTAGTCATCCAAAGACAGAAAACGAGAGTTCAAGGTCAGTATTTTGCAAAAGCAAACCTGTGCGTCTCTCAGGGGTTTAATTTCCAGTTAAATCCGCCGCGGGAAGTTCAGAATCAGGTAACGTCACGTAGCATGTAGCTTTGCACCGAGCACTTGATCTCGAAGGACACCTTCAGCCCGCGTGTCAGCGCTGCGGGGTTTCTGCTGACAGCTGACGCGATCACAGACGGTGCAAGCAGTTGGTGTTTGATGGAGCAGTGAGAACTGGAGCTGCCGTGTCCGTCTGCGGCGCCCCAGAGCTGGGCTTGTGAGTCAAACCACTTTTTTTTGGAGAAAAACCTGTGTTGCAAGCAAGTGGCACCGGACGTGTGAGAAAGCACAAAGAAGCTAAAGAGCCTCCCTCTCTATCCAAGAGTAAATTATTCCTGCACAAGAGTTAAAGCACTGGAGACTAAATTCCTCCAGTCCTGTTAATTTAAGGGGTGCAGACACAGCAAGGCCCTTCTGAACCCCGCAGGAGCTGACCCAGACGGAGACACCCCCGCGGTGGGAAGGTTTGCCCATGCACTGGGCATTAGGTTTCTGTCTTTTACGTGGTCGATTTTAATGTTCCATGTATTTATTTCTAGATACTGTTAGAAGCTGTGTGGCAAAGCTGTTCTTCAGCTGTGCCCTGAAGGGCCATTACTGCCTGTACAGCAAATCCAGCTTCACCCTCACCAGCCAGCAGCCGCCTCTGTGGATCCACATCATGTTTCTCTTCCAGCAGGTACGTGGGAAGCGAGTTGGTGGCACCTCTCTTAGTCACTTTGTACTTGGGGCGGGGGGAAATGTTTTCATGGTTAACCTCTTCAAATACACTTCCAATTCCCAATGTTTCGTGACCCTTGTGGTTCCTCAGGAAGCCACTCGAGCAGGCTGAAGCGATTTTGCAGAAATGCAAGAAATGGAAACTGGCTGGAAACGCTGCAAAGCCTGGGGGTAAAAAAAATAAGTGGGCCCAAACCTCGTCGTCCTCTTTCAGGCAAAACTTCTGCTCAGCCCCAGGTGCCTTGCGAAGGAGCAGAGCGTTGTCGTGGGTTTGCACGGGAGCAGGATGAACCCCAAGGGGCAGCCAGGATGTTTTATTCTTAGAATGGCTTAGGCTGGAAGGGACCTTAGAGATCATTATTCTTTCCCTCCCAGCCCTAGAGATTGTTTTCTCACTGTTTCCAAACACAGCCCAGTATTTGGACACATGTGGTATTTCCTAACAGGTTACAAACAGCGTGAAATTGCAAGAGAAAACCCTACGTTCACACTTCAGGGTGAAACAGATTGGTTTTGTGTTAAAACAGTAAAAGGTTCGGTTTCTTAACTTGCATTCACAGCAGTTCATCTCGCCCTAATGCAACCTTAGAAATACGAAGGATTTTTCTTGAAATTTCAGACACACCTGGTGAATTACAGTGAATTTAACAGCTCAAATCAGTCTTCCCTGTGTTTGCTTATAGAAATAAATACAAAAAAATGCTTTTCAAAATTGAGGTCAGGGAAGAGGGTGACTGAGCAGAGCAAAGGGAGCAGAGGCAGGAATGAGAGAACAAGGTGAAAGGGGGAAATAAAGGGGGTGAATTACTCCGTAAATGAAAACCTGAAGAAAGAGGTTGGATTTTAACAGAACAAATGAATTATGTTCTGAATGCATCATTTTATTCCTGAGGAGAGGAAAACAGATGTTGAAAAAACATGGCCAGGCTCCAACGCGACGCGATCCGGCATCGGGTCCTTGCAAATAATCTCTAAGCACAGCATTTAATGTGCTTTTTTTAATGGAGGAAAAAAACATAAAAATGATTCCTCGTGTGTTGCGCCGAGCATCTGAGCCTGCTGTGGGTCAGGATGGTGTTTGATGCCAGATAATTGATGGGTTTCTTGTGTTCGAAAGCCTAAAGCTTTCAAGTATTGGATATATAAGTATTATTAAATTAAGTAAAGGGCACTAAATTCAGCCCCGGGACAGTGTTTTTTAAGCCTGTGGAATTGTACAAGAGAGAAACTTGACATGAAAATGTATTTATAGTGTGTTAATCCTAAATTAAATGAAAGGCTGGTGATAAAAGTGTAGTTTTCAGCAGATCTGTCATAGATTCCCAGACAGACAACTAATACATGGCTTCCGAAAATTTCAATGCTAGTTACCATATTTTTTATTCCTTTTTTTTGCCAGTCGCTCCATGTGCTATTTCATGTTGCCTTCTGTGGAGGTCAAAGCGAAAGAGACTTTTCCCCTTGGGTCTCCTGAACAGATCCTTAACTTCATGACCTGGCTTTCTATCTAGAAAAAAATCGTTGAATAGTTCTGTCGTGTTTCGAATCCCTCGGATGGAAGTGGTGAAATGGCAAACTATTAGGGAGGGGCAGTAAGGAATATATAACATATGCAATGTATGCAATATTTGCAATATATACTGTATATAATATATATT